AAACCCAATGCAAACAAAACAATGTAAGTGATACTGGATTTCAAAACAAGATAGCAGCCGTTGTTGATTTCCTCTTATCTTCAAAATAGCTGCCCATACCATCAGGCATAATAAAATCAAAACAGAATAGAGTAGAACCAATGAAAACACAACAATGAATGCAACACAGCACTTGAAAACAAGATAACAGTAAACCCAAAATGGCTACCATAATATCTTTGAAATAGCTGCCTATGCCATCTGACATAATAAAATCAAACATGAAAAAATGCACATTGTGCTTTTAAAAAGTAGCAGGTAAAGGTTCAAGTCTGTCTCTTTTCCATTCTTCTCTATGTCAGGACTGTGTCAGCTTCAGGACTGGCTGTTTTAAAATGTTCTCAGGGCTGCATTCTTCAACATGAATTGTATACAGAGTCTGATAGCTTCAGCAGAGGTTGAGTTAAATAACCAACATCTCCATGGCTTACTATAGCAGAGCAGTGGGAGAAATTAAAAATTTTCTGTTTACTAGACATTATCTAATATAAATCCATTTGAGAGCTTTCTTACTAAGTCTTTATGAAGAAATCATTTGTTTTTGCATTCACTTGTGTCTGAGTCGACGTTACTCAGCCATGCTGTACTTTTTTCCTGACTTTTTGATATTTCTATGAGCAATCACTTCCAGGACTCTGGAATGATGAAGCAAGGAGATGCCGATGAGGGATTTTTACCTGAAGTTTTTGGATCTTTCTAGATTTTTCTAATCTTTGCCACATACATGCTCATGCTTAGTAAGGTTCCTTTTATAGCCTCCCAAGTGGGTTCATTGATGGGGATCCTTTATTATCTAAGATAGTTTGCTTTTGATGATGTGGAAATTTGGTTAAAACCAATTCATTGGGATCAATGTAAATATTCAAATTCAAAACATCAGAAAACTCAAGAACTTCTTAAAATAGCATTCTGTTGTAGTGATTTTGAGATATTGAGTAAAATTTCTAAAAGTTGTTTTCCTTGACAAAAGAACTTGTTTAGGGACAATAACCTGTGTTTTTGAGATGTTTTGAATTTTCCAAGCAATATAGTGGTAATTGTTAAAATGTTAAATTAAATAAATATAAATAAAGCATCTAAGTTATTTATAATTAAGTTAAAATATGGACATTTGCTAAGTATAAGTTCATGTATTCTTTACATCCTAAGATTTGTGTAATGTATAAGTCTATTAAACATATTTCATAAATTGCTGGTATATGTATCTACCTAAAACCAATATAAAAGCAAAAGATAGATAATGCTTTTAATAAATTTCAAAGCAACTATTCTAATGGAACAATAAACATCTCAAAAGGTAGATTTTGTCCAAATGTCAAAGTATAGGTCAACTGATTAAAAATGAGTTTTAAAAAATAAATCTCAGCAGAGTGTGGTGGTACACGCCTATAATCCCAGCACTGGGGAGGTTGAGGCAGAAGAATTCTTGTGAGTTCAAAACCAGTTTGCACTACATAATGAGCTCAATTTGCATAAATATAACTTGATTAGTGTTGCAGTAACAGTGGTTTTAAGAAAAAGATACCCTTCGATACAGTTAATAGCTATGATTTACATGGTCTGTTAATAAATTTGTTTCTGTTGCCTAATTCTGATAGTTTTAAGTGGTGCTAAAAGGATTACTGACTTCTGTGCAGTAAGTCAACTGCTATTAGTTTACTGTCTAGTCATTGCTTAAATATTTAAAATTTAAATATTTAAAAATAATTATTTAAATATTAAAGATTTAAAATGAGTTTTTAAATTTTGTGTCACTTTGTTTTGACTGAAAAGCCTTGTAAGGTACAGAAACAATGATTTTGGGCATTTACCACCTCAAGTACATTATATATGTTTTTTTCTAAAACTATAGTGCTTATATTAAAAGTAACAGTTTGGGACAGAAACATGAGTAAATAGCATAAGTTTAAAACGACTGGTGATGTGTGTGTATCAGGTAGTATAATTTTTTAATAATATAAAGCTTAAATTTTGTTGTAAATTAATTATAACAATATAATTTTTGGATAAAACGTTTCTAATTAAAGCTAATTTTTTAAAAAATGTAATCCATGGGGGTAATGTCAGCATCTGTTTAAAATATAAGGCTTAGCAGATTGATCTGTTCTTAGTAAAATTTACAATAAAACTGTGAAAAAGGGGTTTTAAATTTGTCAAAATAACTTCTTATGTCTTCAATTGTTTTCTAGGTATTAAATGTTTAAAAAATAAGTCTGAGGAAGTTCATTTGCTTAAGTATCTGTTTAAGTTTTGTTTTGTAAGTCTATTTATATAAACTGCTATTATGTGATTTTCATTTTTAAAAACACTATTGACCTGATATCATCCTGTCTGTCATGATTGCTGTGTCATAATATGCTATAAAAGTCATAATATGCTATAAAAGTAACTAGATTGTTTTGTTTAATTGCCATCTTGTATATTGCTTATAGTCATATAACAGGCAAAAGCTGTGTTGTTCTTGACCAGTAAAAAATCTTTTTCAAAAATTATATGCTTTGGGTTGCTAAAATAGACAATTTTTGCATACTGTATCTGAAATTGTTTACAGTTCTATACATGTATCTACAAAATCCTAAAGGTGTTACTGAACCATATTTCTTGGTCTTGGCATAAGTAAGTTGTGTGCTTTCTCCCAAATAGCAATTCATGTTGATTTACAAGAAGATGGGACTCTTTGAGTACAGTATTTATTTGATATACTTTTCTGGCAGAATTAAGCTTGGTTCACAGAAATATTGAGTTTGTTTGATTAACTGGGTCATTATGTTTCTTAGTTTAATTCTGATCTACAGACTGGATTTGCATTGCTTTTGTTAGCTTCTTCTAAGCCTGCTTGCAAGTGTTATAAGTGCTTTTAGGGTGCCAATCACAAAATAAACAGATTAGACTTGATAGTGAGCTCTAGATAAACAACCTAAGAGTCACTCTTTCTAAATCTTTGGTATTGCTCAAATGGTATTGCTCAAATAGTACAAAGCTGGAGGTAAATTGGCAAAGCCTCTGAAATGAAAAAAATATATTCAGAAACAAGGTAGGAATGTTGCAAACATCAAAGAATCACCTGTGTGTCAATGCTACTCAATTAAGGAGAGCTGCAAAGGTTCTAAAAGAGAGTTCTTATGCATGACTGGCTAAAAGTGTCAGGGATAGTGGTTAGGTGTCTCCTGGCTTTGGCTTTGCCTTCTATTTGACCTCATATTTTTAGTGACACTTTTTCAAATTCAAAGACCTAGCTACTCCTTTGCTTGTGCTCCAGCTACCTTTGATGCTATGCACCAATCCAACATGAAACAGGAAGATGAGGTGGTACCTCAAGTCTCTCAATTTGGAAGGATAAAATAAACAAGGGAGGATTTGTAACCAGCACTGCAAACCAGGACTTTCAAAGTTAACATTTTCCTTGCAGAAATAAATGATTTCTCTGACCTCACCCATAGAACATCATCACCAACTCTTTCTGCCCTTTGCCTAAAAGAATTTGTGACAGAATATGAAGATGTGAGCTCCCTGGAGGCTGGAGCTCAGGTTACTTCCCCTAATAAAGAGGGATGAACCAAAGATGACTGAGTGACAAAGCAAGTGTGGAGATCTGCATCCTCCCCCTGCTCCTCCCTCCCCTCTGTCCTTTACTATAAAAGACCCCTGTCCACCTGGACGTGGTCAGGTGATGATTTGAGGCAAATTAGTGCAAAGTCCTGCCCGGAGCTAGCTTTGAATAAATTCTTCGTAACACAAAAATATGGCTTCCTCTGATCTGGACAGAGGTGAGCAGATGAATGTATTAGCCTAACTAGCCAGTAGCTTACCATTTTTCAGATTTTGTAACTGAGGCTTAGAGAGTGTCAGTAACTTTCTCATAATGAGAATATCGGTGTTTGGCAGAGCCCAGTTTCAAAACCAAGTGTTCCTAACTCAGGGTTTTTCAACTGCATCTCTCCTGACAATATTGGGTCGGGTAGTTCTTTGTATATGTGCTGTAAGGCTTGAACAGCATTGTAGGGTATTTTACAATACCTTGGCATTTGTGATATGTCAGTATTACCCTTATCTTTTGCATGAGGTGCTTCCAGACACTGACAGATGTCTCCTGGGAGCTAAAATCTCCATTTGAGAACTACTGCCCTATGACTAGAGTAAGGAAGAAGGGGACTCAGCAGACACTGTGTTTGTTACCACAAGGGTGGGACTTTATTAGGCCAATGTGAATGGAAACACAGACCCCTGACCTCCCTGGAAAGCAAGCAAGTTCCTTTCCTGCTTCACACACACAAAGAGAAAGACAAAGCCTGTTTATTACTTGTCATTCAGTGGATACTTACTCAACAAAGGTAACAATGGAACTCAGATCCAGCCTCTGGAGACAAAACAGGACAAACCAAATGTCTTTTCCTCCCTGAGGCCATATTCTACAAATAATAAGGAGACAAGTGACACAGATAGAATCTCAGGTAATAATGGCCAAAGAGAAGAAATAAGCAGTAGGTTTACTGAGAAATGAGGTTTCCACTAGGAACTACAAAAGGGGAAGAAAGAGCCCATCTGATGTCTAGGGGAAAAAATGGTTAACTAAGAACAGTAATTGCAAAGGCCCTGGGGTGCTCTTTGTAGTAGCTAAAGAACAGAAAGCATGGAAGTGAGTGAAAATAGAGAATGGGTAATGAGGTCTGAAGCAAGGTGAGGACAGTCATGTTTGTGATACTCACGGTAACTTGCTGGCTTAGGCAAGACCAGATCTAGCAGTAGGGTCAGGATTTAAGTTGGATTTTATGGAGTTGTCATTTCCACCTGGACCAAGCTATGAGCTTTTTTCTCCTAGGCACAGGTTGTGATGTAGAACCACACCCTCACCTGGTCTGTGACTCACAGGACTGGGCCAATGTTTGCAGAAGAGTCAGAGGTGGGGAGAGAAGGGAGTGGCATATAAGGAGTGAGTTTGCTGCCCTCAAAACATGGTCAGCAGTGAGCACAATTCTAACCCAGCGTCCTCTGAGGTGGCTTCATAATGATGACTGTGGCCCTGATCCTCCCCATAGCAGCCTGTGTGTTCTCTCTGGGAATTGGGCTGTGGGTTTTCTGCAGACATCTCGCAACTGAGGACATCCCAGCAGATATCGATTGCCCCTTGAAATTGAGGATCCTTAGCTGCGTCTTCCAGCTGTTGATGACATGGGTGAGTTTATATCTTGAGGGTTAAGGAGAGCAATCACACACCAGAAACTTCTTGGGTAAAGTGGCACTGGTATCACGTAGCCTGTGGTTAATGCTGATAGCATATTCTCAACCTTGAATGATCCCTATTTGGTGTTCCCAGCCATTTTCCATGTTTCTGAAACTGGACTTGGCTAATAGCCACAAGACTCAAAGAATGATTTATTTCTCTGTGTATTAGTTAGCTTCTTATCACTATAAGAAAATGTCATAGACAATCAATTTAGAGAGAGAAAAGGTTGTTTGGGCTCAAGTGTTGGAAGTTTTAGTCCAAAACTGTTGGCCTGGTTGCTTTCAGCTGTGGTGATGCAATCCATATGATGGGAGCCTGTAGCCAAGCACAGCTGTTTATCTTAAGGCTAAGGAGCAAAAGTGAAGAGGAAAGAGGAAAGGACCCATAAAACCCCTTTTAAGGGCATCCCCCAATTACCTAAGGACCTCTCACTAAGGCCCCACATTCCAAGCTTCCGCTGCCTCCAAATTCCACTACCACATCTAATATTCAAAAAGTTCACATCTCTCCCCAGCCTGAGTTTTCTCACTTTCTTCATAAATCTGATCACTGTGAAGCCATAAAGGAAGCAAGGAATTTTTCTGAATCCTTGTACCCAGTATTACAAGCAACAAAATATGTAGCAATTCAGAACATGAGCACAAAGATGAATAAAAACTGTACAATACGACTAAAAAATGTCATGAGCTGAGTGTAGAAATCCAGAAATCTGCAGGACTGAAACAGGAGGATCACAAACTCAAGCCCATCTTGGGCAACATAGAGAGACCCGGACTCAAAATAAAATGTAAAAGAAGCTTGAGGATGTAGCTCAGTGCAAAAGCTCTGGCCTCGATATGTTACTTCAGAGTGTTGAGAAACTGTTTACATAATAAAATTCCATTTTATTTCCTGTTCCCAGTATGTCTAATTCATTAAAATATTTGCAAATTGGTCATGGTGAGAATGGTATGGATATTGTTAATATGGGTTTACAGTATTTTTTCAGAGGATTGACAGAAATGGGTATTGAACATATTTGTGTTAAGTTTCTTACATAATAAAAAGAAACCCTGGATAGGGAAGAACTCTGAAAAGTGTTTCTTACCTCCAGGATCTGCTTTTCCAAGACACTACGGCAGGGTCCTGTTGTTTTTCTGGCGGGGCTTCGACTTTCATACTCATCATGTGACTTCCCTATTGCAGTGACTTAGTTTTTTCATCTATAAAATAGGGGGAAATAGTAGCTTTTATACCAGGGCATTTTGCAGATAGTCCATGAGTTAAGCAATGTGAAGGGTAAATTATAATATCTGGCAAGAAGTAAGTCGTGCATTCATAGTGCCTTAGTGTTACTTTTGACATTTTTTACTATACAACTGTTATGTGTCATGGTTTTGGATTCAGTTTCAATGATGGGAAAGAGACAAAGTCACAAGTGGTTTCTATCTTCAAAGAGCTTGGAGCCTCAGGGCAGTGAGTTTGGAGAGGGAGCCGGGGCCTTGAAAAAGTAAAGTGACAAGAAACAAGCCAGAAATAAACATGTTTGTACAGAGATCAGTAGTAAGAGAATGCTTAACAGTGGGGGGCAGATAAGAGCTTGTTCACTTGGGGTTCCTCACCCCTCCTGGGGACAGGATGGATGCATGAGACCTGAATAGTGTACAAAAGCCTCCATATTCACAACTAACCTCTATTGGAAACACCACATTCCCTCTCACAGAATGAAGTCAACCAGCTATAGTTGGAGCAAGATTGCAACTTGTTTACCAAAAAGAATCACAGAAATTGGCCAAAAGTGTTGTGGTACAGAAAAGAGAGCAAACATGAGAAATGCATACCTCTTGCTCTATTTCACTGTCTATTTTTTATTTTGCAACTGTCTAGACATATCCAAAAGGATACTGAATAGTGTAAAGCAGGCATACTGGGAATGGAACCCAGAGACTTCACTCTGAACTATATCCTTAGCCTGTTAAATTTTTTTGAGATAAATTAAAAAAAAAATTTTTTTTTTTTATTTTGGGTCTTGCTAAGTCATTAAATTGCCCAGGGTAGGCTTCACTTACCCTCTCTGCAACCCTTTCTCAACCCATTTCCTCTCCTTTCTCTAACAGGGGATGATTTTCGAGAAATTAGGACTCTGTGGTAGAACAGAATTTGTCAGTTTTGTGCATGATCTGAAACCACTGAAGAAGTATCCAGGTGTTGTGGTCACAGATCTCCGTTTTGGGACAATCCCTGTGAAACTGTACAGGCCAGAGACACCCTCAAGTAGTCCCAGGACTGGTATTGTCTTCTATCACGGCGGTGGGACTGTCCTGGGGAGCTTAAGTAAGAGACTTACCTTGGATTTTAGAAAGACCTTGGGTGGGACCCTGCTGGAGAAGCTTGGAAAAATGATTACCTTTCTGGGTTTAAAGTCTCCTATTACTACAGGAATTCCAGGAATTTGGTGGGTCCCAGGGCATTCAAAAAGCAGGTATTGAATGCAATGATCTCCTTCTAGAAATAGGATATATATGAGATATGATGAACATATATGGTGTTTCGATTTTTAAAATTTTTTTATGGTAAAAGACAGATTGCCATTAACCTCCCTCAAGTTCCTTCCCTTCACTTCAAACATACTTTTACCCTTGTTCTTGCCACTTTCTGAAGCAGTTCTGGAGTATCTTCAAGAGGTATGATCATAAAGACAGTGGATGCTGCTGCTGAGTCCCATCCAAGGGAAAGGCAGACTCAAAAAAATATTACAGTGTGTCTTCATCCACTTTATTCCTCAGATCTGACACTCTGGAACTTCTGGCTGTTCCCCAAAGTCAAAACGACCATGAAAGGAAAACATTTTGAAACTTTGGAACATCAAGACAGCCATGATAGTGCAACTAAAACCATGGAAGGGCACTTCCAGGACTGCTTCTGAAAATGGCCAGAATGATGGGATAAGTGTGTTCAAAGGGAGAGGGAGTATTTTGAGGCAGTTAATAGCAATACGTTTTTCTGTAATAAATTTAAAAAATTTAAACATTAGCTTGTGATTCAATCACTCCACATTCATGTATGTATGTGTATGTGCACACGTGTGTGTTCTAGAAATCCCTGTCAACACCCAAACCCGCAGGCACTCAAGCCTCTTATATAAAATAATGTATTTTACATAACCTCCCATATATCTCCCTTTTTTATAATCTCCCATACATTTCAAATCACCAGAAAATGACATCTCATACCTGGTATAATATAGATGCTATGTAAATAGTTGTTATACTACATGTTTGGGGAATATTGACTACCTTCTCCAAATAACTCTCATGTATTCACTACAGGCACACTTTAAGAAGACATTTTTTGATCCACAGTTGGTTGAATCTGCAGGTGTGAAATCCCCAATACCACAATACCCAATTTATATATATATATATATATATATATATATATATATAGTTAAAAATATTTACTCATACAAAATTGTATTTATTGAAATGAAATGTATATGGCACTAGATTAATCCTTTTAAAGTACCACGTGTTTAAGCTGGGTGTGGTGGCACACTCCTGCAATCCCAGGCTGAAGCAGGAGGATCAGATCATGGCAAGTTCAAGACCAGCCTGGGCTACAATGTGAGCCCAAGCCCAGCCTGAACCACATAGCGAGAACTTGCCTGAAAAAGATCAATAATAATATAATAATAATAAAGTACCATGCAGTGGCATTTAGTATATGCTGTGTAAACATCACCTGAATTCACTTGGAAATAGGAATATTTTAAGTAAAAATAAATAAAATGCATTATTCTGTTTCACATCAGGCATACTTGAGACAAATTTTGGAACAGACAAACAGGAACACCAAAGATTGTTTAAAAAAAAGAAACCTGATATGAAGAAAAATTAAAAATAGAGATGATTTTTATCCTAATCTTTCCCCCCATGAATCAGGAGGGGAGACACTTTGGTTTGAGCAGTGCTTTCAGTGTGTAGAGCCTGGGACCCTTTACGGTAGGTAGCCTTTGAGAATAAAGGATTTAGTGATGGAGTATTGGTTCAGTCTATATGCCAAATAACAGTAACGGGAAATATTTATTAATTAATAGTTATTTATATTCACATGAAAAGGCATTCCAGACGAAGCCTGTATGTGTATTATATTAAGCTCGAGCTCCCGGGGAGGTGTATTCTCATTATCCTCATTTTATATATGAGAAAACCAAGCTTCAGCAATGTCAACCAACTTGTAGTACCACATGTTTTTAAAATGTCACTATTTTAAAATGAATTTTTAAAAAAGGGGGGGAGAAGCAAAGTTAAATTTTGCTCTCTGGTCTGTGTGAATCTCAAGTTTACCCACTAAACTATTGCACTCTATGGCCCCAAAACCTCTTGTATGTTTCTAATTACCCTCAGGAGGGGTCATGGTGTGGACATCGTGGGGAAAGTGGTTCACACAGACCAGAGGGGAAGTAATGAGCAGAGAGGAAATTTATTCAATACCTAGAAGCCAATTTGCAAACTCTAGCCAGAGCCAGCCCACACAGCTGACTTCCTGGTGAATGTGATAAATCTCGTGTTTTCCAGAAACTCATCACAGCCTCTGTGCGCTTTTGTGCAAGAAGACCGACTCGGTGATTGTGGCAATCAAGTGAGTATCAGGGAGGCGCCACGTAGGCACCCCACTCTGCTGTCCATCGATGGGCAGGGAATATGAAATGTGTTGAAGAGAGGCCAAGAGGAATAGCTGGGAGAAGAGAGGAAGGAAGTGAAGAAAAAGCATGAGAGACTGAGGAGACGTGGCTGGAAAGTCTTCTGTGCCTTTGGGTTTGTGAGAGTGGAGGGGCCTAAGGTCTGGTCTTTGGAAAGCCAGGTGGAGAGTGGTCTTTTTAATGCAGATTTGATGTAGATATTGCCTACAGGAGAACTTCAGGATGGAACGGAACAACCCTGCACATTCTAGACATGAACTCTTCCCTCTGGAAATGCCAGTAGTACCCACACCGTCCTCAGGACAAGCCAAGCACTGTTACCCTCATCTCCAAGTACCCAGAAGGAGATCTCCCTTGGCGGAGATCTACACAAGGACACAAGAAAAAAATATGAAAACAAACCAAAAACCTTCCAAGTCTCTCTCCTAGCTGCTTTCTAAGTTACCCGCCCCCCCAATTTAGCCCTCTTTGAGGCCTTGGTAAACACTGGGCAGGGATGACTTGAGCTGGTTCCCCCCTGGCCTCCTACCTGTTGCCTGACAGATCAGCACCCATGGTAGTTCCTCTGAGCAGACTTTCTACAGTTTCATTCAAATGCACAGGCAGTAAAAAAGATCAGCTGCCTGTGTGTCTTCCTTGGTGAAGTACAATAAGCCTCCTGGCTTTCCTGTGACAAGACCAGTAAAGGAGAATAAAAAAATAAGATGGAGAGGTGGTCAGAAAAAGAGAGAGAGAGAGAGAAAAAGAGAGAGAGAGAGAGAGAAAGAGAGAGAGAAAGAGGCCTCTGTCTCTTCTGTCTCCATCTCTGTGTCTCTGTCTATCTCTGTCTCTTCCTCTCTTCTTCCTCTTTTTCTCTTCCTCTCTCTCTCTCTCTCTCTCTCTATATATATATATATATATATATATATATACATACACACACATATATACACATATATAAATTTATATACAAGAATTTTATTTTTTTAATGTTTTTAAAGAGGAAAAAACAAAAGTTCAAAACAAGATAAGAGTAACAATCACTAATATGTTGCATATTGTCATTTTTCCTTTTTTATTTAAAAAAAGCAAAACAAAAAGAAAGGTAGAAATGCTACAAGATTTCAAAAGATAACATTAAGAAATCTTCTCTAGTTGATTTTATATGTTGTCATTTTTGCATTAGTAACTCAAGAGTACAAGACATAGGCATTTAATTGTCCAAATGATATTAACACCAACTTTTCAATGAACTAAGATAAACTGATAGTATAACTATCTTTACTACTATATATGTATATAATTTAAATAATATATATTATTTATTTATATTTTCTTTCCTCTTCCTTCTTTTCTTCTTTCTACCATCCCAGTTTCTCTTTCCGTTTGAACAGTTTTTTCTCATTTTACAAAATCTATTGTACATTTTGGATCTTTCAGCTTCTCACACTAGGGAGACAATACAACATTTGCAAATGTGAGTCTGGTTTACTTCACTTACGTGTATGGTCTCAAGTCGCATCTATTCACCTGTCTCAAGTTTATCCTTCTTTATGGCTGAGTAGCATTGTATAAAAAGATCATATCTTTTTTGCCCACTCCTCGGTTGATGGGCATTTGGGTTGTTTCCAAAATCTAGCTATTACAAATTGTGATTATTCCAGCATTTGAAAATGATGAAATATCTCACAAAAATCTAGATTTGTGGCATCTCTTGAGCAGTAAGGAAGTCTAGCAGCATGATGTTTACATCTCTCCCTGACAGCCATGGCTTAGAGTGGGCATACCCGATTTGGAGGAGTCCTATATGTGATCTGCTGGCGTCTGGTGGGAAAAAAGTCTACAAGGTCCCCCATGAAGTCTGTGTGTATGATGAGTTGAAATCAAAACCCAAGAAAGCCTGGAGGTGCTCATAAGAATCACAAAACAGGAAGCAGGGACAGATGTGAGTTAGGGAACCAACACAATGCAGGTGCAGGAAGATGAGGCTGGTGTTGGTAATGGTTAAGCTGTTGTCCAACAGCTGGATGACAGGGCTGTGTAAAAGTGACTTGTCCACTGGAGCGTTCTGAAACTGTGCAAATGGCAGCTGCCACTTTGCAAGCCTGAAAAGTAAGAGGAGTTTGCACTTGTCATTTCATGTAAGCATCACACATCTTCATCTGCTCAGGTTTCAAAAAGGGAAGTTAGCAGAATAAACCTGTGCTAGCAGATGGTAGACGCATGTATTTTTGGCCTCACTTAGCAGTGACAAGCACAAACTATGTGCCTTGACTCTTTTTCAGATACCGCAAGTCACCCAAATACAAGTTTCCAGCAATGTCAAGAGACTGCCTAGGGGCCACTGTTCACTTCCTGAAGTCCCTGGATGCATATGGAGTGGATCCAGCTCGCGTTATTCTCTGTGGTGACAGCGTGGGAGGAGGCATGGCAGCCTTCCTTTGTCAAATATTTGTGAATCGTCCAGATCTCCCCAAGATTCGTGCTCAGATTCTGCTCTATGCTGCTCTCCAGTTTCTGGACTTCCAGTCCCCTTCCTTCCAGCAGAACAAAAACATCCCATTGCTCACATGGAATCTTGCTTTCTACTGTTGGTGTTGTCACCTGAATATCAATACTTCCTGGAAAAGTAAAATTGAGAAAGGTGCTTATTTGCCTGCAGAAGTCTGGGAGAAGTACAGAAAATGGTTGGGTCCAGAGAACATCCCCGAGAGGTTTAAGAAGAGAGGCTATCAATCCAGACCCCGCGAGCCCTTAAATGAAGATGCTTACCTAGAGACAAGAATTGCTACAGATTGGACATTCTCACCCCTGATCACAGAAGATGACATAGTGTCTCAGGTGCCAAAAGCTTGCATTGTGAGCTGTGAGTATGATCTTATCTGTGACCATTCTCTCCTATATAAGAAGAGACTAGAAGACTTGGGCGTGCCAGTGACTTGGCATCACATAGAGAATGGTTTTCATGGAGTGCTTACCCACGTTGAAGAAGGTTTCTTCCACTTCCCCTGCTCTCTGAAAATTCTGGATATTGTAGTCAATTTTATCAAGGAATTGTGAACCTCTTTACTTCCCAAGAAAACTCTACTGTCATCCAGCAACCCCTAGAACTCTCTGGAGCTGTGTTAAGTGACACTGCATCAGGTTAGGTAGGGGTAGAGGCAGTTGTCTCTATCCTAGTCTGGGTTCTAGAACCATACAATTCATGTTCTTTCTGCTGTATAGAGAAGAATGGAAGAGACAGATTTGGAGGGTGAGGTGGAACTGTCACGGTCCACATTCACTGTTGGAGAAATTTGAGTTGACCATCTTCAGTGGCCATTTGTGAGAGTGAAACTACGTAAAAAGGATTCTCTCAGCCTCAGCTAGAGTTCAGTCTGTCCAGCTTGACCGAGTGCAACAGGAGCATGTAGTGGGCAGGGCCTTGGAAAAGCCCAGGGCCATAATGCACAATCTCATGGAAATTTTCCATTTGGCTAAGAAGGTGACTCTCTGGTGGGTCATTACCCCAGGATGGTGGGTAATGGCAGAGGTGGAGAAGCTCTCTTTGGGAACACAGTGATATCTCTTGTTGTTCCCCAGCCTCTGGGAAAAGAGTCTTGCATGCCTAGTATGGGAGAGTTAAGATAGGGTGGATAGATTTTTCCATGGTGACTGCTTACTTGCAGCCGTTGAAGACAGAGCTGCCTGAGTATGGCAGCTCTGGGACTCCTGAAGTCAAGCTGAGCTTCTAACCAAGGACTCAAAATAACACTATAGGAGAGGAGTTGGGAACAAAGCTGAGTGCTGAATCAGAGACCCATGAGATTGAGTCCTACCAAACCCAACCATATTTGTAGTGAGAAGTTGTGAGATGGCCAAAGATGTATAATGAGAACTCTTTAGGTTTTGATGTACAGACCCAATTCAGATTGCTTGAATCATATAAAAAATTATACTAGTTTATGTAGCAGTGACTTCCAGGGATAAATCAGGCATAGCTTAAACTAGGAGCTCAAACATTTCCAGAAGAAACCATCTCTTCTTTTCTTTGCTCTTATTTGTTGACTTCCTCTTCACCTCCCTACATGGTAACACTAAGCAGTTTCATGTTTACATTTTCCTGGAGTCAAGTTTATTTTTATAGAAATGTCTCATGCTCAGGAGTTCCAGAAAAAAAAAATTGAAACTTACAGGCTCAACTGGTTTTCTTACTGATGTATCTAGTTGTCAAAACCAGGGGATCGCAATGTTCTGATGGGTTAGGCCCAGGTCCTACGCTATCCTTGGAGTGGAAAACGGAGTCAACCTCCGCTAGCACCTGCATCACTGTGGAGCCAGGTTGTAACACTGTGAGGAGCAGGTGACATTTGCTCTTCAGTTCTGTGTCTTTTTTTCTTTTTCTTTTTCTTTTTTTATCGGTACCGGGGATTGAACTCACAACTGCCTGCTTGCAAGGCAGGCACTTATGCCGCTGAGCTAAACCCCCAACTCCTGTTCTGTGTGTCTTTGATGAAAGATTTCCGATGAAACATACAGGCAGTCATATAAAGGTACAGTTTATTGCAAAGTGATACATTTTAAAGGTAATAGATAATTTATCATGAAGTACAAAAGTGGGCAGGCACCAACATGACAGATGTAACGAAGTCTCCCACCACACTTCCTGATTAAATGTCTTTTCAAGGAATACCATTTCCTTTCTCTGAGATCACTACTCTTTAACAATGAAATTGGGGCTGTTCTGATGAATTTCAGAAACATTTTCTTTTACTTACCTATGGTAGAACATTTCCATTTATTTTATTTTGAGACTGTAGGGTGTTTTTCCAAACATTTACCATGGTCTGGATTTTGTAATATAGTACAAATTTTATACCAAGGAATTTTAAAAATCAATTAGTAGCTTGTTACTGTATTGAAACAAGATGTGCTCACCTACCCTGTCACATAATTACTCTGCTAAACCTAGCCAGCCCTGATTGTCTGTGCCCAACTTCTTTTCATAGATAGTCTGTCACAGGTCAGACTGTCCCACTACAAGGACTATGTTTTCCCACTCAAGAATATAGCCTGTTTTTCTAATATGTTTCAAAGACTTTCTACCCAGGATGAAAGAGCCCAATCAAGCACACACTTCACTCTATCTGTCCCACTCAGGATTCCCTTTCCCAGAACTTCCCCACCTCATAATAAACAATTCTCTTTAGTTAAGTCTGCCTGACAACATAATTCATGTAACCAATTATATGATAACTTGCTATCATTCTTTGTTCTTCCTGCTTACAAAGTATATATAACTTTCTGTTTCACCCTCAACTGAGGCTGATGATTTGGAACTGATTCCCACAAGTCCACTAGTAATAAATCATTGCCTTCGAAACTCCTCAGCGTGAAGTGACTTCCTTTTGGGTCAGTACCAGGTTGCTGCAACAGTATAATCTCTGGACCTTATTAGCATGCTCCGAGGAATTTATATTATTTCAGGCTAAAGTTTGAGACCATAAGTTTGTTTGGATTTTATGTATAGCTAATAATAAAACAAAAGAAAAAAAGTCACATTTCCTCTGCTCTTCAAGTCTGGCTCAGTGCCACTAAAGTCTAAATTGCTGCGAACACTTGCACTGAAGGTGGAGGAGGGTAAATAATTCCCTAATGGATGTGTATTGAGTGGTGTTTACTCTATTGCATGCCGAAGTTAAATTGAAGCCTGAGGCAAAGTACTTGGAGGAGGCAAGAGATGTTAAGAGTCACGGAGCAAGCTGACCACCTGCTCCTTACAGTAAACATTTCTTTGGGAAATGCGAATAGGCCCACATCCAAGTCTGCTGCACAAAGTAGTATGTGCATTCCTTTATCTTTCTGTCACTTGAATAGTTGTACTGAAGTATGGGGCAGGAAAGAAATTCCATTGGCTAGCATCTTGATCTGCTCACCCCCCCCTGATTTTCAGGTGACTTTGTTGGAGAAATGGAATCACTGAGTGAAAACACATATTGTGATGCCCACTTAGCTGCTGCAGAATATTGGACTCTGAGGAGCATGGTCTCCAGGGTAGGCACTACTATTGGAGTGCCACTGGACATGGGCAAAGGAACATAAACTGACCTTACACTGACCTTTTGGACAGGCGGGGTTGTAGATCTTCTGAAGGGAAGTGATGAGGGGTTTGTAGGCTACTGCAAGTTCATGACCAGTGGAGATGAAGGTTGTATTAGTTATTTGTTGCTGAGACAAAATATGTAGCACCCACAATTACAAGGGGAAAGGTTTACTTAGCTCACAGTTTATAAAGGTTTCAGTCTGTAATTGACTGGGACCAAAGCAGAATGGCACAGGACATTGGGGCAACAGTTCATGGTAGTAGAAAACAGCAAAATCAACACAAGAGAGTAAGACAAACCTCCATGTGTCCCTTATATTATATTTAGTCTACTAGGATTACTGTGGTGCCAATCCAATCAGCAGACTAATCCAGTGATCACCCATCCTTAATATCAGCACCTTTAATCTCCGTACTACATTACAAATCACACTCTAGATTCAGCCACCTCTGCAAAAACTGTGTGACCACATGAAGCTCTGGGGGGACATCTAGACACATCATAACATAGGGCTTCCTCCTTCTACCATGAGGGACTGGGAGGATCTTAAGGTGAAGGCTCTCTTCCATGGCTGTTTCCTTCTGCAGATGGTGCGAGAGACAAAGAACTTTGCTTATAGTTATGGCTGGTTGGGTTCTTTTCAGGACCAAATTCTCCACTCCTTGCTTTAACCAATTCATCACCATCCTTTCTATAACCCACTCACAAAAGTCTAGAATGGAAATGAGAAAGGAAACAAATGCTTAAAGAGAGCCAACACCACAGTAGGCACTGGGTTGTTTCAGTTTGTCACTCTTGTGTTCCTCCCATGAATCCTAACAAGAGGATATTCTTAAACTCATTGTATAGTTCTGAAAGATTAACATCATTCACATCCTGATTCTTTCTGGTTAGGTTCAAAGCCAGTGGACTAAACACTTTGCTGAAGGGTATAGTGTTGCCCAGGACTGTGCATCATCACAACCCCAGTCTACTGACAAGAATAATTTTTGTTGTGCTTCATTGCCTGTTAGCCTGCAATTGAAGTTCTTTTCTTGGAATATCTGATGTGAGTCATTTTCTGTCCATGTAGTAGTTAGCTACCAACTGATCTGAATCATATTTTAAAAGGTCTACTTATTTTGTTCTCTGCTTTTCTTTACTTCCTTGACTATAATGTTTTCTAATCCTGGATGTTTTTATTTATTTATTTATACTGAGAATCGAACTTGGGGACCTTACATTTGCCAGGAAGGTACTTGTGCTACTGAGCCATACCTCCATCCCTAATCCTGGATGTTTTAGAAGTGGCCTTTGTAGGCTCCTTCTTGAACTTTCCCCTGGGTGTCCCTGTGACACAGCATATTGCTGAAGCATCCATGCGCCTTTAAGACCAGACACTCTGAGATGGAAGAATTTTCTCGCTAAATTTCCATGACGACTCTAGAAAGAGATGCCAGTTAACTCTGGGCTGGGACATTTTGGCAAAGACAATGAATCGCATCTTGAATTTCTTTATTCTCTGTGGTTAGCTGATAAGTAAGAACAGGACACAGGGCAAAGTTAAAATATTAGCAAAATTTGTTTCTCCTTTCCTTTCAGTGCCTGCCTTAAATATATCTCACCCCTTCCCAGGACCCCTTTGCTTTCCTGACTCCATACCTTGTCCCCACCTCTCTTTTGGTCCAGAGTGAGTACTTTCTCCCTCATCTCATCCCTGGGTAATCAGAGGCTGGTATTGAGGAAGGGTGAAATAAAGTAAAGTAAGGCTAAATGAAGACAAAGAAATCAAGATTTCTAAAGTTGTACTTAACTGTAGCTTCAAGACACAAGAGTTACTTAAGTCTTTTTTTTTCCTTCTAGGACACTCATTTTAAAAATTCCTAATGTTCTTCAAGACATAGGAAGCCTACAATTCAGGTTCCGGACCTGAACCTTTCACCTATAAACTGCACTTCCCCTACCCCCAAAGAAGTAACAAGATTGATAGGCAGCACAGTTCAACTTCAAACACACTGTCAACAACTTGTATTCTGACAAACAGTAGGAAAACATAATTTAGGTCATCCCATTATGATGGATACATTGTGTCAAGATGGATACATTGTGTCAACTTGAGAAGTTTAGAAATTTTAACTGAGAGACTCAGCAGGGAGCCAGGGTCTTTGCTTTGTAAACTTTGTAAACATCTCATCCTGTGCCAAAAAGAGCAGGGTGCAGAGATTTTTGTGAATGCTACACCGGCCCTGGAATGTGGGCGTGGCCTGTGTACAATATAAAGGAGGAAAAGAAGCTTACTCTTGCCTCTTTGTTTTGTTTTTGGTCTGGCTGCTTTGGCTCTGGCTTCTTCCTTGAAGTGTTTCCCCAGTGCCATGCCACCCTGTCTTGCAGCCAGTTGATTATGGGCTGAAGTCTCCAAAAACTGTAAGATAAATAAATCTTTCCTTCCTCAATTTTGGGTGTCAGGTATTTTGTTCCAGCAGTGAGCAAAAAGTAAAAGTAACCAAGACACCGCCTTAAAGTTCCCTGAGATACCATAAATATTCCCAGCTTTCATCTCATAACGCACTTATTTTTCTCTGAACAGCACTTTATATAATATTTAACATACAGGGGGAGGGGAGCCAGCAGAGGCCACCAGGCTTGTATAAAGGCAACATGATGTGCAATTTATTGCACCTGCGTGCAGGGACTTGGCAAGCATGATAAGACCCTGAACAAAGACAGGTGTCTCCCTTTTACAGGGATGGAGAGGAAGCAAGAGACATTAGGTGGGAAGATTCCAGTAAACATCTGTGGTCGAAGTTTTCTTGCTGTCTTGCACCTCAGTGGGCAGATTCCTTGAAGTGTCTGGTGTAAATTTTCAGGTGTCTCCAGGTGTCCCTAGGACCTAAAAACTTTCGTCCTATATTTTCTCCTTTACTAAATCCTGTGTTTGCTGATGACAACTTTGGGTGCTGATATGAGTTCCCCCACAGAGACTAATGTTTTTGCTGCCAAGCAGGTTGCAGGTGAGGAGAGTTAGGTCCAGTCAGAATATGATATTTTTGTGTTTTAGTTATTATTTTTTTTAAAACAGGGAAATGGGTGCTGGGCTTTATGGCTTTTTTCCCCCTGTGTGACACATAGGCTGAGTGGACAACTTAGTGGGAGAGAATCTTGAAGAACAGGACTGTGTTGTAGAGACGTCATTACCAGCATTTGACCTTTGGCAATCACTTTTACAGGATCCTGTAAAAACTGAGTGAAAAATCTTAGAAGATATGGAAATCCAGACATGGAATGGCCATATATGCTGTTGCTTACATGGAAATGTAGAGATCTTTGGCTAGGGCAGGGCTGGAGCCATTTAGTAAAGAATGAATTAATATTAAGGTTTCGTAAAGGTACTTTGGCCCAGTTGAGTGAAGATGCCTGTCATACAAATTGGGTCAAAGGTTGTAGATAAGGGGAAAGGATTTTAATTAGGGCTGTGATAAACACATGGGGGGAAGTATTTTATCTCTGAAGGAAAAGACAACTGAATTGGAATTGTAGTAAAATTTGAGAATAAAATCTATAGAAATGTATAATAAAATGACTTCTTTAATTGGTGAATAGGAGAGTAAGGAAAAGCCATTTGGGTGTTTTTGGAGTGTGGTCAGCTTGACAGATGTGGGTGAGATTGTGACTTTCATGAAGGAGAGAGCAGGCAAAATGTAATAGGCTTTAGTCCCCTCCACGCCTGATCTGGAACTGAGTCTTAGTCCTGGGAAGGACCGGTGTGATCTAGCTTTAGTGGGATGCTAAGAAGTGTTTACTGAGAGCCGGGAAAAAAAAGGAGGTAACCCAAACCCCAGTGTTTAGATCTTGGGGGCAGCCAGAGGAAAAAAGAAGAGAAAGGCTGAACAGAAGGGGTCCCGTCAATTGTTTGGATAGCATTAACTTAATGGGAAGTCAGTCATGCAGTGAGTGGGTGTGGAAAGATTAATTTGGGGGGGTAGATGATGCTCTGGGGTCTTGAGATGATGATGTCTATCTAGACTTTATTAAGCTAAGTGTTATCATTTGCCTCATCCCTTTGGGAGTATGTAGGCCTGGTTTTTGTTGATCTTGAAGCCTAGCTTTTAATAATGGGTGTTTGACCACAGTTGTGGTAAAGAGAAACCCAAAGAAACTATTAAGTAAGGATGGGCCAAACAATACAATTAACAAGGCTATTTATTGGGAATATAACCAACAAATGCTTTACCAGGAAGACCCAGTGATTGTTCTTTATAACAAGGATAAGGAGAAAGTCTAGGGAATTTTAGAATCTTATATGGCCCTAACCTAATCATTAGATTAGGTTATCTCTTGAATATCTTGAATATCTTGAATTATCATAGAGACATTAAAAGGATCAGGAATGTATATATAACATTTAACTTTCATAATGTTGTTAGAATGTCTAATGTTATCTG